CCTGCGTGCCTCCCGGCCTGCGAGGCGGCTGCTCCTGCTTGCCAGCAGGTGGCACGAGCTGTGTGAAAATGCCCGAGCGCGGCCTCCCGAAGTTAACTTCGCCTCCGTGGAGTGTAACAATCCATCTTGTTCTCTGCGCTCTCCCCCTCCATTTTGTCAGCCGCTCTGCTTGCTGACGCGGGGTTTAAAATGGCAGGGAGGAGAGGTTTGGCAGCCTGCACCCAAGCGGGCTGCGGTGGCTGCAGCGACGGTGGCTCGACTGCGGTGGTCGAAGGCGTGCCAGACTGCTGACAGTGTCTGTGGCCTGCGTCTCCGTGCCTTGGCCCTGCTTGTGGCCTTTTAGTCACTCTTGCCGTTTACTGCACGTGAATTTAAGCCTTGCCCTTCTCGGGGTGTCGGAAAGTTCAAGACCTTTCCCTTCCCTTTGTGGCAGAGCAGTCTAGTCTGAACTGGGAGGTTAATCAATCTCCCCCTTTGATAACTTCTCCTTGGGGTTATACCTCTCTTCCACGTGGATATTACCTCCTTTAAGGCAGGTACTGACGTGCCAGATAAGCACAAAATACAGTATTGTGTACATAAATGACAGGAATGGATGCTTCCAGTCCTAATCCTAGCCTTGCCCTGAGAAGGCACTCCAGCCCTTCCAGGGGCTAAACATTCCCTTTTTGGCTAAACTAATTCTCTATTGGCAGCTTCTTTCCAGCCTCGCTCCAAGTGGAGCTCTGAGCTTTTTTCCAGGTTTAACCCTAACCCTAAACTGAGCCCTAGGAAAGACACAGCAGCACTTCCCAGGACTGTCAGTTCCTCAGGGGGACATCCTTTTTGCAGCCCTTTTGTTTCCTTTGGCAGTTCAACTCCAACTGGAACTCGGGCTTTTCCTGTCCACCAACCCTAACCCTAAGCCTAGGCTGAGCCAAAGGCTCGTGACATGGCTTAGTCCAGAGCCTTAATATTACTGGGAGAAGAATTCTTTTGGTGGCCTATTTCTTCTTTGCCAGCCCCATCCCAGCTGCACATCAGGCTTTCTTGTTCTCTCAGTGCTAGTGCTAATCCTAACCCTAGGTTTGAGCTATGAGCCAGGCACTGCTGAGAAGCACAGTATTCTTCAGAGGAGAACTCTTGGCAGCCCTGTGTTTGCTTTGGCAGCCCCTTTCCAGCCCCACTCTAGCTACAGCTCTGTAGTTTCTTTCAGCCTTAACGCTACATATGGGCATGGCTCTTCACAGCCAACTAAAACAGACTGAGAGCCTTGAGCAGGATCAAAGACAAATACAACAACAACAAAAAAAAGGTGTTGAATATAGAATTAAGTACAGAAATAGAATGAGAGTTACAGGTATACTTTTGAGGACTGTGAGATTAGCCTTTCTACATCTTGGAGCCTCCTTGTTTCAACTAAAAGAAAGGAAATATAGTGAACTGCTAGTTCGCAAAATGAAAGTCAGATAAGAGAGATCAGATGTAGGAGAGGTCTAAAAGTGCACCAGCACATAGGATCTTGAAGAATTTGAATTAGAAGAATGAAGCAGAAGAACGCATGACAGAAGGGTGGAAATTCCATCAGAGGGGGCCAAATCTAATGGGATTCAAGGTCTGATTCTTACTCTGGCGCTTGTTTGCTTTCCTTTGGAGTAAATGGAAATCCAGAGCTTTGAAGTCTATTGCCCTGAGGTCTCCTACAACGGAAGAAAAAAATGCCAGTTGCAGGCCACAGATATGTTGTTTATTTAGAGACTTCTAGTGTTTATTTCAGAGTTTGTAACACTCTATAATTGTTAGGTACTAAAGAATTCATTATCATAATATTTAAATTTATAATTCAGTTATTAATAGTCATAATTTATGCAAGGAATCAAACTTATCTCTTCTTACTACAGCATGTAATCATGTAAAAAAATCTCCTGGGACTTTCAAGTAAGATCCTCAATCCAGCTCTGTCCCAAATTGTTTCTTAAATAGATAGTTTTGCCAGAAGCAACCCAAATCCACACAGCACCCACACTGAAGCAAATTCAGCTGTTGAGGCTTTTTCACAGAAACTTGCCTGCTAGCAGATACTCCTTTTCTACTAGATGGTCAACACATGTAAATTCTCTAGCTAGTGAAATTGGTGCATGAGTGGGAAAACAGTGGCCTCTTATGTAAGCAAGTCCCAAAGCATCTAAGAGTTTTGAGTTAAAACCAGCAGGTTGGATCCTCTCTGTTGGCACTGCTGTAACATGACCGTTTCTCTCAGACAGGAAGGCGATAGCTTCAGTCACTGTGCCACCTGGTATTACTGCAGAGCTTCAAAGCAGCTGGCTGTGCTTTTGCAGTTGTTCAAGCTCATGCTGACAAAAGCATGGATAACAGCATGGCAGTGAGGCTCATTGGTGAGATGGCAGCCAAATGCACACATAAAAATTTGCTTTTTAACTCTGATGCGCTCTTCCTTCATGGGATTGTGTTCAAATGCACTGTGTGACCAACACCTGGATCTGGGTCCAGTGCTGTTTAGCATCTTCGCTAATGACCTGGATGATGGGACAGAGAGCGCCCTCAGGTTTGCAAAACTGGGAGGGGGTGGTGGTACACCAGATGGTTGTGCTGCCACACAGAGGGACGTCGGTTGGCTGGAGAATTGAGCAAACAGGAATGTCATGCAATTCAACAAAAGGGAGTGCAAAGCCCTGCACCTGAGGAGGAACAACCCCATCCACCAGCACAGGCTGGGGCCACCCAGCTGGAAAGTGGATTGGCAGAAAAGGCCCTGGGCATCCTGGTGAACACAAGTTGAACGTGAACCTCCAATGTGCCCTTGCGGCCAGCAGTATCACAGTTTGCGTTAGGCAGAGCATTGCTACTAAGTCAAGGGAGGTGATCCTCTCCCTCTGCTCGGTGCTGGTGAGGCCACACCTGGAGTACTGTGTCCAGTACTCTCCAGTACAAGAATGATACAGGCATACTGGAGAGAGTCCAGCAAAGGGCCACAGAGGTGATTAAGAGCCTGGAGCATCTTTCACATGAGGACAGGCTGAGACAGAGGTGGGACTGTTCAATTTGGAGCAGAGAGGGCTTAGGGGATCTTATCATCTTATGTGTATGAATACCTGATGATGGGGAGTAAAGGAGAAGGAACCAGACTCTTCTCAGTGATTTCCAGTGAAAGGACAAGAGGCAATGGACACAAATTGAAGTACGAGACATTTTGTTTAAACATAAGAACAGTGGAACAGGTTGCTCCAAGCATTGTGGAGTCTCCATCTGTGGAGGTTTTCAAAAGCTGACTGGACACAGTCCTGAGCCACCTGTTTACGAAGGGGGATTGGCCTAGATGATCTCCAGAGGTCCCTGCCAACCTCAGCTATTCTATGAGTCTGTGAAGTACTAACATAACGATTCCTGAAGGATCGGAAGCACTTTTGGTTTTTCAGGACTGATATGCACCAATAAGAGGTGTTTGGAAAACAGTAAACATTTTATCCAGGTGGTATGTAAAAAAAGATGGTATTTCCAAAGAAACAAAAATACTAAAAAAGAAGAAACACAAAGATACGGTTTTTTGAAAATAGGTGAACAATCCCTCAGAAATTAAAAGTGTAAACCGGAAAACTTGTATTGACATCAACATTTCCTACAATTTTGATTTCAATAGGCCATGTTTTCACCTATAACATGTTTTGCATTTGCTGGAAATCTTACAGTTCTCTAGGCAGGATCAAGTACAGTTTAATATTAAAGGGTTAATGTCTAATTAGAAATTTTGCAATATCAGAAAACACCACTGTGAAGCAACTTGAGTATCCCGAAGGGATATATGAAGTTGGCATGGCAGACAGTGGGGCAGGCTCCAAGCCCTGCCTCTCTGCCAGGCAGGAGCCCAGTGAGGGAGCAGCCCTTTGCCAGCTTTCCAGCCTTGCTAGTTCCCAGGAGTGAAAATTCCCATAAACGGCTGCCACCAGGGCATAAAGGATGGTGGTCTCTGGCTGCCGTGCCCAAGGGGGAAAGCTGATCTGACTGCCTGACTCCCAGAGAGAATACCCCAAGCTCCCCTCAATTCTCATATGAGAAACATCATGTATTTTCAAACAATAAAGTCTGTTCTTACAGATAAATGGTTTCTTAAGGGATTTTGTTGTCTTGCCGTGAAAGTGAGGATCACAAGCAATGCAGTCATTTTCCAGGAGATACCACGTGACGTATTTTCAGCTGTGTGTTCTGCCTTGCCAGCCACCTGAAATGGGACAGTAAAAAACTCTTTATGTTTAGCCCAGTGCAATCCTGGAAAGCCGCATGAGCCACAACAAGCCCATTATTGTGTTAATAAATAGGGTGAGTGTCAATTTTGAAGCTTAAGCTTTTAACTCTGCAGCACTGGCATCCTCCTACAGAAAAAGACATCTCTGTCAGTTGTTCACATGGCTGTGTTCATTGGCAGAAAATAAATAAATCTGTGGTTAGCACAATTTCTCCTTAGGGTAAACTTTGCTATTGAAGTTTTTCAAATTAGAGCTGAAGAAAAATATTTTGAAGGTTTTCTGGCTGTGCTGACTCTCTAGCACTCCAGATCTCTCTCCCAGCAGATTACAGGGGACTTTTGGACTGTTCCTGCTATTCATGTGACGAATGCATACTCATTAAGCATCATGTTCTTATTTTAGATTAGCTATCATAAAACAGTGCAGTGTGGAGGGAATTTGGGGAGACAGTACTGATGTG